AATTACTCCACTCCTGCTCCTCTCAGCTCCTGCTCGGTGTCTGGACACACAGGAATTACACCAAACCCTCACTTTTTTCCTGGGATGACTCCAAATCTTTAAACTCTTGGCTCCTTTTCCGATAAAAGCGATGGATGTTAAAAACATGTCACCTGTTAATTGTTGGTCTTTATCAAAAATGCAGAAATCGCCCCTTAATTGGAAAGGATTGGAAATCTTCATAATTTTAAGCAGAGCTGCCTGGAGAGTGCCACGGAATCGTGGGAGGTGTTGGGATGGGAGGAACCTCGAAGGCCATCCAGTCCCACCTTCCACTGTCCCAGGCGGCTCCAACCTGGCCCGGGGCACTTCCAGGGGTGGGAGGACGCAGATCCCAGTCTTTGCTTGGCGTAAATTACGGAATTTACCTCTTAAAGCAACTCATTCGGGCTGATTTGCACCCAATTTGGCTCCTGCCCAAAATTCCATGGGCGTTTGAAGAGCCGGAGCAGAATCGTCTCAGTCCCTTTGCATTTTCATGGCGCGTCTGCCACGGACTTGTGACAACAAAACGTGTCCTACTTCTCTTCCAAATCTGCTGGAAAAGGGTCATTATGGGGAAAAAAAACCTCGGGAATGGGCTTGGTTGGTTTTTCAGCATCGTCGTTGAGGTCCTACAGCTCCAGTTCAGGCTCTCAAAAGAGATCAAAGGGGGTTTATTTTTATTGTGTGTTTGAGCAGATTTAAAAAAAAAAAAAAAGAGAGAAGCCCGAAATCAGGACCATAAATCAACATAAAATCAATTTGAAAAAGCTCTGAAGTGTTTTGTGATCAAACTGATGAAAGGGCAGAACAAAGGAAGGAGCCTCAAGCTGGGCAGATCCGGGTTTTACCAGAGGGGGAATCCAGGGGGAAGGTCTTTCCTCCCTGAAATTATCAGGACTCGGAGCTGGAAGAGCTTCCTCTCCCCCCACGTCCTCCTGCGATAAGAACTCGTTTCCCAACCAAACGGGAGAGGCACAAAATCCATCAGGCTCCATCTCTGAGGAAGGAAACCACAAGAAAGGTCTGCCAAGAAAAGAGCAATCAAAGAGGCATAAATATCCATCAGGAGGGGGTTTATCTCCCGAGCTGACAGTGTTCCCATCGATCCTCTCACTTTTCATGCCAGAGGAGAACAAACCAGGGCAGTGACACGGACTTAAAGTGGTTTTCTCGCCTCCAAACTGCCCCAGTCACCCTTTCAAGGTGGGATGAGTTGATTTAACAAACCTCTGAACACCCTCCGAAGTTCAGCAGCACCAACCAGACCAAACACTGCGTTTGGCACCACGGAAGGAAGGGATTTTCCTCCCTCTGGCTCATTGCTCTTCCCAGGAGGACCTGACCCTCCTTCCGTGGGCAATTCCTGCCTTGGGATGGCTCGGGGAATCTCATGGGGATGGTCCTGTGCAGGGCCAGGATTATCCCTGTGTCCCTTCCAACTCGACATATCCTGGGATTCTCCAGCTGGAAAACAGCTTTGCCTGGAAGGGATCAGGGATCCCGTGGATTTCCAGGGGCGTTGCTGTGACCTTGTAAAAGACAGAATATTTCCCCCCCTTTTTGCCCTTTTTTGCTGTTCTGGGCAGTGGGATAACCCCCTGCCCCGTGCCCGGGATTCCCACCCATCCCACACTCGTTCCCGAGGATCTGGGGAAGATCAAACCAGGGCTGTGCCGTGCCAGGAGCCTCGGCCGTGCCGGGGCCGGGCCGAGGTGGCACCGAGCGGATCCGGGAGCGCTCCCTGCCCTCCTTAGGACTTCAAAGGGGCCGAGGAAATTCGGTGCCCAGAGGGGGGGACTAATTCCAGCTCCCTTGGAGCAGCCCAGGCGGGGCGCCGGGCCGGTGTCTGGGTGTCTAGACGGGCTCTGGTCCCCGGGGATCACACGGGGAAGGACCTGCAGAGGTGGATTCCTCGCTCGGCTGCTCCGGCAGGGATGAGTCACCGTCTGGAGATGCCGATCTCGGTCCACGGGCCACCGAGGGAGGGAGGCTCGGAGAGGGAATGAGGATCCGTGGCCGGTTTGGGGGCTGAAGGAGGGAGGAAGGGGCGCCCAGACCCAGGGTTTGATGGGTTTCATGAGGAGCATCCTTTGAGAATCCTGATCCTGACCTGGAGCAGGGGCGGGTCAATGAGAGCTAAAAGCACGGGAGCTGATGGAATTCCCTCGGATGACTTTGGCCTGGGGACAGAAGGGGTTTCACTCCTCAAATTAATCCTTTAATACCTCATGAATGACTTGGACAAGAGTCTGCAGAACCCAAGAAGCTGCACAAACCCCCCTGTTCCGCCCCAGCCTCCCCGGGATCAAACGGGGTTGGCACAGGGAGGCTCCTGCCATCGCCCGACCTGAATGGGGCGAGTTTTTGGGAGGCTCTGGGTAATTACAGAGCCCGACACGGCCCTTTGAGGCTATCACATAAAACACCTTCTGGGAGCCCGGTCGGATCCACCTCCAGAGGCAACAAGCAAATGAGTGAAGTTCAACGTTCCCCTGATGAATTCCCTGCTGGGCAGAGCTCAGGGAGCAAAACGCTGACAAAGGCAGCAATTGCAAGTCGTCAAAATGACTCACCCAACCCCCTCATCGAAGTGTTTTCCTTTTTGGCTTCCTCTGTCCTTCCTCTCCTCTTTTTTTTTTGAGTCGAAAAGATGCAGTTTTTGCTCCAGAGTTCTCTCCCCCTTCCCACGTTTTGCGCTGGCAACGATAAATTGTTGATTCTTGAGATCTCGTGGAGAGACTTAAAAGCCCTTAAAGGCAACTGCCTTCCCGCTGGGATCCAGGGGAGACAACAGGGATTTGGCCAACACACAAGTGTTATCCAGCACTGAGCAACCCGCCCCCCAAATCTGGGCTCGATGGTCCTCGTGGGTCCCTCCCAGCTCGGAATATTCTGCCATTCCGACCCCAAATCTCTGCCCTCTGAGGAAACCAGCGGCTCAGGCGAGCTTGGGAACTGGGGCTGGTGCAGCACAGCTGGTTCACAGACGTTTAATTGCAGCCTGTGCTGCATTCCAGGTGTCTCCCACACATCCGACGGGGATAATGGGGCGCAGGGAGGGAGCAGGGGCACCTCTCCAGTCTGGGCACAGTTTTCCTCTGCAGGGCTCCCAACAAGTGCCTTTTGTGCCCTTCTTCGCAGTCAAATCTGCATTTTGCTCCTGATAAGCCTCCATTTGGAAACCTCGAGGGCCGGGGAAGTTCCAAAGCGCAGCTTGGAGCCTCCAATGTTTGTTTAAACTGACACTGCAACGAGAGCAAAACACCGCGAACAAAGGTGTAATCTGGACGTCACAGTGTAAATATCTGGAATTACCCCATCTGCAGAGGGCAGGAGCAGCACTTTACACCCCTAATTTCTACCACCGGCCCCTCAAACTCCCGGGGCTTGCAATTACAGGGCCAATTAATGGCTTTGGGGATCCCGGGGCCGCCGTCACGTCCCGGGGTTTCACCGCTCGTGTCGTCTTTTTAGGAACTTGGTCTTAGAAAGCTGCGTGTTTTGGGGAGGTTTGGGACGGATTTATGGTCCCAACCCTTGGGAAATGCTCTGGGAGGGGGTTAAAGAGGACGAGGGAGCACAGCACTGGGTCTCTCCAGCTGCCATCCTGTTGTGTGACACGGAGACTCCTCTGGGCAAGGAGGGACTCGAGGGCGTTCAGTTGTTTGCACCATAATGTCTCTTTTTCTCCCAAACACTTGGTCCCCAAAGAGCTGAAAGAGCCCTTTTGTTTTGACTTCCCAGGGGCCTTTGGAGAAGGCCCGGAGACGTTGCCTCCTTCACCTCCTTGGGCTGGTGATTAGGAGAGAGAGGGATTCATCTGCCCGGCGTGAGTCAAAGCCAGGCCTGGTGTCCAGCCCAACCCACCCATTAAGGCCTCCCCTGTTCCCCTGCAGAGGGTGAATCACCCCAGTCCTCCCGGGCAGGGCCTGGGGGCTCTTTCCCTCCGAGGTGTCTCTGGTTGGAGTGTCAAGGACGTGTCTGGCAAAGTCACTCCGGGAGTGAGGTGGAAGGTGGATCTCACCAGGCTGGAATGGGCCATTGTTCCCTTTTTGTTCCCTGTGGAGGCAACCGGGAGGTGAATCCCAAAGGACTCTGACACCCAGCCCTGGCAGGGGCTCCAAAGGAGCGGGGGCCGAAGGTTTAATGGGACAGGTAAGAATCCTCAATGTTATCCGAGGAAAAGCTGCCACTGACGGCACAGAACACAAATCTGTGAGCAAACTGAAACACGTCACAGATTCCGGGTGGAACCCGCTCTGCTTCACTGGGATTTCGTGGTGGGAAGAGGCCAGTGTGAAATCCTGCACGGGAATGTCCAGGACTCTGCACGTCCCCAGAATTCTGAGATTGCTTTTGGGGGACATTTTGAGTCCTCGCACAATAATCCAGACCTTAAACCCTGTGAATTTACTGGTGTTTCAGACGCAGAAATGATCCATCCTGGCACGACTTCCACCGTGTTTTTCCAAGGTTGACTTTCTTCTTTTATTTCTCCTTTGAGTCCCTTTTTTCCGCACCCAAAGATTGTGAAATTACCCCCACAAAGTGCAAGTCTGCGAAACACCCCATCACACCCCAGACACACACACACACGGGCCCATGAGACACAAAACCCCAAACGACACGGCGCAAACAAATCACAAAGAGTCCCTTCAAAAACCTGCCCTAAACTATAATTAGCGTTAACTTCGGGGAGCGCTTCCAACCCTAATGTATTCGAGGGCGACTTGCAAACAGAGCACTTTTAGATCCCTTTTTATTTCCTCAGTAGTTACTATTTGCCGGGCTGGTTTGCATTTTGAGGAGCATTCGTTGCCGCCGGGCAAACCAAACCCTTGAGCGCCTCAATTACCGCCCTGATCCTATCAAGGCCGGGCTTCCCGAAGGATATATAAGGGGCAGCGTCGCTCCAGCGGGATCTCTGCTCCTCTTGCCGCACCCGGAGCCGCCCCGAAAACCCCGAAGGAGCCACGATGAGCCGGCAGGCGCCCACGGTGAGGTCCGTGCTGGGCCGACGAGGCTTCAGCTCGGCCTCGGAGATCTGCGGCCGCAGCTTCGCCGCCTCGTCCTGCGCGCCCGCCCGCTGCGGGGCCGGGGCCTACAGCAGCAGGAGCGTCTGCAACCTGGGGGGCAGCAGGAGGATCTCCTACGTCAACGGCTGCGGCACCGGCTGCTTCGGGGAGCTGGCGTTCGGGCCCGCGGGGTACGGGAGCGCCGGCGCGGGGCGAGCGGGGCTGTGCGGCCCCCGCGGGTACAGCCTGGTGCGGGGGTACCCCGAGCGCAAGGCCGACGGCATCCAGGGCATCTGCATCGACGAGAGGCTGCTGAAGCCCCTGTGCGTGGGCGTGGACCCGCTGGAGCACGAGATCCGCTGCCAGGAGAAGGAGCAGATCAAGAGCCTCAACACCCAGTTCGCCTGTTTCATCGACAAGGTGAGAGGTCGGGCTGGTTTGTGGGGCTCTCGTGCCTAAGGGGGTTGGGTTTGCTGGCTTAGGGAGCTCTCTGGTGGGTTTGGAAATAGTCCAGACCTGCTCCGGGACTGCTTTTCTAGGAGAAAAAACAACCCCAACCAACCCCCTCCAAAACCCAGCTCGTGCTACGAGTCAATGAACTCCCTCCAAAACCCAACTCGTGATGTGAGTTAATCCCAGCTTGTGCCCCGAGCCAAAGAACTCCCTCCAAAACCCAACTTATGACACGAGTCAGTCAAAATCCTCCAAAACCCAGCTCGTGCCAGGAGCCAAAGAACTCCCTCCAAAACCCAGCTTATGACACGAGTCAGTGAATTCCCTCCAAAACCCATCTTATGACACGAGTCAGTCAAAATCCTCCAAAACCCAGCTCGTGCCACAAGCCAAAGAACTCCCTCCAAAACCCAACTCGTGATGTGAGTTAATCCCAACTTGTCCCACGAGCCAAAGAACCCCTTCCAAAACCCAGCTTGTGCTACGAGTCAGTCAACTGACTCCAAAACCCAGCTCATGCCCCGAGCCAAAGATCTCCCTCCAAAACCCAGCTTATGTCATGAGTCAGTGAACTCCCTCCAAAACCTAGTTTAGGACATGAGTTAATCCCAGCTTGTGCCACGAGCCAAAGAACTCCCTCCAAAACCCAGTTTATGACACAAATCAGTCAAACTCCTCCAAAACCCAGGTCATGACGTGAGTTAATCCCAGCTTGTGCCACGAGCCAAAGAAACCCCTCCAAAACCCAGTTTATGATACGAGTCAGTCAACCCACTCCAAAGCCCAGCTCACGTTATAAGTCAACCAAACTCCTCCAAAGCCCAGCTCACGTTATAAGTCAGTTAAACTCCTCCAAAGCCCAGCTCACAGAACAACCAAACTCCTCCAAAGCCCAGCTCATGCCATGAGCCGACCCCAGCTCGTGACACGAGTCAACCGATCTCCTCCAAACCCTGGTCCAGTTCCGCCCTGAATCACCAAACTGGGTCTTTTAAGATAATTTTGACCATTTTTGCGAGTCAATGATAATTTGGGGAGCGTGTTGGTCCCGACTGGGATCTTCAGACCCGGGGAAGGGCTCGTTTCGTGTGCTGGTTCCAGAGTTGGGTGGTGTTTGGGACATGGACATTCCTGCGGGTGTTTCCTCTTGGACGCCCTCGGTCCAAGGTTGGATTTCTCTCTGCGGCTCGGGTGGAACTCACAGCCCCCGCAGGCTCATCTTTCTGCCCTGAAATTCAAATTTTTGTCCCAAAACTCCAGTAATTCCCTCCCCTCTTTGCCTTCAAACGTTCCAAAACCACCCCTGACGGCAAAGGAGGTTCATCTTGACCTGGACACGTAAATGTCAGACAACGAATCTGAGCTGTAAAAACAACAGAGACAAAGAGGTTTCACCCTCTGGGGGCTCAATCTCAGCCTAAAACACATCACAGGCACCATCCAGAGGAGATTTTTTCCCCTAAAAATTGGTGAGAAAAGCAGATTTAGGCATGGGGCTTTTAGATCTCTAAATAATGTAGACACGAGACCTTTTGATTTCTAAATAATTTGGACATGACATTCGGATTCCTGAGTAATTTATACGTGTGAATTCCAGATTTCTAAATAACTTAGGTATGTGAATTCCGGATTTCCACATAATTTAGGTGTGTGAATTCTAGATTTCTAAATAATTTAGACATAACACTTAGATTTCCAAGCAATATAGATGTCAGAACTTTAGATTTCCAAATAATTTAGATGTGTGAATTCAAGATTTCTAAATAATTTAGATGTCTGAACTCTCAATTTCTAAATAATTTAGGTGTGTGAATTCTGGATTTCTGAATAATTTAGGTGTGTGAATTCTGAATTTCCAAATATTTTAGATGTGTGGATTCTGGATTTCTGAATAATTTAGATGTGTGAATTCTGGATTTCCAAATAATTTTAATGTGCAGATTCTGAATTTCTGGATAATTCAGGTGTGTCTATTCTGGATTGCAAAATAATTTAAATGTGTGAATTCTGGATTTCTGAATAATTTAGGCATGTGAGCTCTGGATTTCCAAATAATTTAAATGTGTGGATTTTGGATTTCTGAATAATTTAGATGTGTGGATTCTGGATTTCCAAATAATCTAAATGTGCGAATTCTGGATTTCCAAATAATTTAGACGGGTGATTTCTAGACGGACACGTGACACTTCGATTCCTAAATCAGGGCAGCTACTTTGAAGATCACGGTGTCCTGTCCCCTCTCAGTCCCCAAAATCCCACCCTACCCCCGATTAAACCCGGCGTCGAGCCGCTGCCTTCCCTCCCTCACGCCGAGAGCTGCTGTTCCCCGGCAGGTGCGGTTCCTGGAGCAGCAGAACAAGGTGCTGGAGACCAAGTGGGGGCTCCTGCAGCAGTACGTGCTGCCCAAGAAGGGCAAGAACCTGGAGCTGTACTTCGAGAACTACATCTGCGACCTGCGCAAGCGCCTGGACTGCCTGCTCTGCGAGAAGCAGAAGCTGGGCAGCGAGGAGTGCGCCACGAGCCAGCTCGTCGAGGAGTTCAAGTGCAAGTAAGGGCTCCCCTCTGCCTGTTCTCGGGGGTCTGGGGGCTGGGGCAGGGACAGAGAAGGGCAGAGAGGCTGGGGAAGGGGCTGGGGGTGAAGGAGTTCAAGTGCAAGTGAGGGCTCCTGGGGCTCCTCTGCCTGTTCTGGGGGGTCTGGGGGCTGGGGCAGGGACAGAGAAGGGCAGCAAGGCTGGGGAAGGGGTTGGGGAAGGGGTTGGGGAAGGGGCTGGAGCCAGCTGGTGGAGGAGTTCAAGTGCAAGTAAGGGCTCCCGGGGCTCCTCTGCCCGTTCTTGGGGGGTCTGGGGGCTGGAGCAGGGTCAGAGAAGGGCAGCAAGGCTGGGGAAGGGGTTGGGGGTGGAGGAATTCAAGGGCAAGTAAGGTCTCCCCTGGCTCCTCTGCCCATTCTTGGGTGTTGAGGGGCAGCTGGTGGAGGAGTTCAAGTGCAAGTAAGACCCTCTCGGGCTCCTCTGACCATTCTCGGGTGTTGAGGGGCTGCAGCAGGGCCACAGAAGGGCAGCGAGGCTGAAGAAGTGGCTGGGGAAGGGACTGGGGAAGGGGCTGGAGTCAGCTGGTGGAGGAGTTCAAGTGCAAGTAAAACCCTCCGGGGCTCCTCTGCCCGTTCTTGGGGATCCAGGGGCTGGAGCAGGGTCAGAGAAGAGCAGCGAGGCTGGGGAAGGGGCTCGGAAGGGATTGGAGCACAGTTCCCGTGAGGAGAGGCTGAGGGAGCCGGGGGGGCTCAGCCTGGAGAGGAGGAGGCTCAGGGGAGACCTCGCCACTCTACAACTCCCTGCCAGGAGGGGGGAGCCGGGGGGATCGGGCTCTGCTCCCAGGAACCAGCAGTAGCACAAGAGGGTCTCAAGCTGTGCCAGGGGAGGTTTAGGTTGGATATTAGGAAGGAATTCCTTCCAGAGGGAGGGATCAGCCATTGGAATGGGCTGCCCAGGGAGGGGGTGGAGTCACCCCCCGCCATTCCCTGGAGGTGTTTAAGGTGAGACTGGATGTGGCATCAATGCCACGGGCTGGGAACCGCGGCGGGGTTGGAGCGAGGGTTGGACTCGATGGTCTCGGAGGGTTTTTCCTACCTGGCTGATTCCGAGATCCTGTGATTCCGTGGTTTGGGTTTGCCCCTCCCAGACGGGTGGCACAGTCCCTCGTGGGGTGGTACAGCCCCTCCGGGGGTGGCACGGTCCCTCCAGGGGTGGTACAGCCCCTCTGGGGGTGGCACAGTCCCTCGGGGGCTAACACAGCCCCTCTGGGGGTGGCACAGCCCCTCCGGGAGTGGCACAGCCCCTCTGGGGGTGGCACAGCCCCTCCGGGAGTGGCACAGCCCCTCTGGGGGTGGCACAGCCCCTCGGTGGGTGGTACAGCCCCTCGGTGGGTGGCACAGCCCCTCCGGGAGTGGCACAGCCCCTCCAGGGGTATCATAGTCCCTCGGGGGTGGCACGGCCCCTACAGGGGTGGCACAGCCCCTCGAGGGTGGCACGGTCCCTCTGGGGGTGGCACAGCCCCTCTGGGGGTGGCACAGCCCCTCTGGGGGTGGCACAGCCCCTCGGGGGGTATCACAGTCCCTCTGGGGTGACACAGCCCCTCCAGGGGTATCACAGCCCCTCTGGGGGTGGCACAGCCCCTCAGGGGGTGACACAGCCCCTCGGGGAGTGGCACAGCCCCTCCAGGGGTATCATAGTCCCTCAAGGGTGGCACAGCCCCTCCAGGGGTATCACAGCCCCTCTGGGGGTGGCACATCCCCTCAGGGGGTGACACAGCCCCTCCAGGGGTATCACAGCCCCTCGGGGGGTGACACAGTCCCTCGGGGGTGGCACAGCCCCTCGGGGGTGGCACATTCCTCGGGGGTGGCACAGTCCCTCGGGGGTGGCACATTCCTCGCCGTCTGCCCGCGGAGCTCTTTGCATTGGAAATGGGGTTGCTCATGAAAGAGCTTCTGATCTCGGGGTGGGTCAATGTTGGCTCTCCAGACGCTGATCTGGCGGTGCCCGGTGGCACAGCCTGAGCAGGGGGAGCTTGTCATTTATACCCACTGGTTGATGTCGTTTATACCCCAGGTTGTTGTCATTTATACCCAAAATTATTGTCATTTATACCTGAGATTATTATTATTTCTTCCCAAGGTTATTGCCATTTATACCTGAGATTATTATCATTTATACCCGAAGTTATTACCATTTATACCTGAGATAATTATCATTTATACCCAAGGTTATTGCTATTTATGCCTGAGATTACTGGCATTTATTCCTGAAGTTATTGCCATTTATACCTGAGATTATTGCCATTTATGCCTGAGATTATTATCATTTATACCCGAATTTATTGCCATTTATACCCGAAGTTATTGCCATTTATACCCGAAATTATTGCCATTTATACCTGAAGTTATTGTCATCTGTACCTGATGGCTGATGTAATTTATACCTGCTGGTTGTTGCCATTTATACCTGAGATTATTGCCATTTATACCCCAGGTTTTGTCCATTATACATGAGATTATTGCCATTTACACCCCAAATTATTGCCATTTATACCTGCTGGTTGATACAATTTACCCCGATGGTTGATGCCCCTCTGCCTGGGAGTTTTTCTTGCCTCAGCCCTTTTTCCTCCTCCTGTTCCAACAGGTACGAGGAGGAAATCAACCGGCGCACGACGGTGGAGAACGAGTTCGTGGCGCTCAAAAAGGTGAGAGGCTCCAAACCCGGGGGTCATTCCACCCGCTGGAGGTTGGTCTGGTGCAAAACTCGGCAGAAACGGTGAATTATTAGTAAAAAAACCCACCGAAAGTGTTACAACAGCAGCTCCACAGCCGCAGATTTGTCACCCCGAACACGCTCCGGGAGCGGGACGGGAGGGGGTGTTTGAGGGAGGGGGACAGGGCAGGACAGGTCCCACCAGAACACCCGGTTCTTCCCGGCCTCCTCTCCACATCCTTTATTCTTGGACATCAGAAAGGCAGAAATCATTTGAAGAATATTAAAGAAAAGCCCTTTAAACCCTCCCGAGGTGGTGCCGGGTTTGCGGCCGCGTCCCGAGTGACAAACCAGCCAATTCCTGTCGGTCGTGTCGGAATGGTTTGGTTTTCCTCCAGGAGACACCAGGACACCCTGACTCACCCCCTCGCACCTTTCTGCTCTTGGCATCCTGTTGGGACACGTTTCTGTCTCACTTTTGCTGCCTTCTGTGTGTTTTCTCCAGCGTTTCCAGCCAGGCTGGGGCTGGAATGTGCGTCCCTCCTCTCTTTCAGGATGCAGACTGCATCTTCCTCAACAAGGAGGAGCTGGAGGTGAAGGTGGATCTGTTGAGAAGGCAGCTGGAGCTGTTGAAATGTGTGTTTGAGGAGGTGAGTCCCTCTGGTCCACCCCAGCAGTTTGGTGGTCCTGTCTCACCCCGCAAATTTGCACTCCTTGAAACCCCTCCGGGACGTGTCTCATCCCAAGCCCGGAATAATTAAAAGCTTGGAAGTACAAGGCTGATCTGAAATTACCATGATTATGCTGGGAAAAGGGTGGTTCCCCCTCTCCTCCTGTAGCTCCAGGTAGGAATTGGCTCTGTCCTAACTCTGCCCCGGAGAAGAGATGCGTCCGTCTCGTTCCTCCGGCTCTCAGCTCCTGATTAGAGCTGAGGAAACTCCCGGCCCAGTCCTGTCATTAGCACCCCTGGAGCAGCCGGAGATGACAGGATACCAAATTCCTGGCCCTTGATGTGGATGGGATTGCTCCAGGTTGGCAAAGTGGGTCAGCGGCGACGTGTGGCGACTCACCCAGCCCCAGGATTTTCTGCTGAGCCATCCCCGGGGGCACCTCAGGGCTTGTTCTCCGTGTCCCGGCCCTTTGCCTGCCTTGCAAAGTCAGGTTTTGGGAGCTGACTAAGCCCTTCCCCACCCGCAGGAACGAGCTCAGGTGGATCGGCAGCTCTGCGACACCTCGGTCATCGTCAAGATGGACAACAACCGGGACCTGGACATGGAGAGCATCATCAAGAACGTGGAGTGCTGGTACCAGGAGATCGCCCAGAAGAGCAAAGAAGAAGTCGACGCTTTCTACCAAACCAGGGTAGGCCTGGCAGACCCTCCTGGGCCTCTGCCCGGCAGCATCCCCGACCCAAAAATGACCATTGCCTCGTTTTCTGGTCCCAGTTTCAGGAGCTCCAGGACAAGAGAGGGAAATACTGTGACGACCTGCAGAGCAACAAGTGTGAGATCTCAGAGCTGACCAGGATGATACAGAAGCTGCAGTGTGAGCTGGAGAGCGTCAAGAAGCAGGTAGGAGAGGGGATGATCCCAGGGAGGTTGGGAAGCTCAGATATGAGGAAAGGTGACACACTGCCCTTTAGGAGGTCAAGAAGTAGCAGGAGAGGAGATGATCCCAGGGAGGTTGCACAGCTCAGGTATCAGGAAAGGTGACACACTGTCCTTTAGGAGGTCAAGAAGCAGCAGGAGAGGTGATGATCCCAGGGAGGTTGCACAGCTCAGATATCAGGAAAGGTGACACACTGCCCTTCAGGAGTCAAGAAGTAGCAGGAGAGGCCAAAGGTGATGATCCCAGGGAGGTTGGGAAGCTCAGATATCAGGAAAGGTGACACACTGTCCTAAAGGAGGTCAAGAAGCAGGTAGGAGAGGTGATGATCCCAGGGAGGTTGCACAGCTCAGATACAGAGAAATGTGACACACTGCCCTTCAGGAGTCAAGAAGCAGCAGGAGAGGCTCAAGGTGATGATCCCAGAGAGGTTGGAAAGCTCAGATACAGGGAAAGGTGGCACACTGCCCTTTAGGAGTCAAGAAGCAGGGAGGACAGACCCAAGGTGATGATCCCAGGAAGGTTGGGAAGCTCAGATATGAGGAAAGGTGACACACTGTCCTTCAGGAGTCAAGAAGCAGCAGGAGAGGTGATGATCCCACAGAGGTTGGACAGCTCAGATACAGGAGAAGGTGAAACACTGCCCTTTAGGAGGTCCAAGAAGCAGCAGGAGAGGCCCAAGGTGATGATCCCAGGGAGGCTGCACAGCTCAGACATGCTGGATCAGCCTTTGGGAGACTTCAGACCTGCTCCGGGCCGTGGTTGGAAAGGGAAGGGTGGGCAGAGGGGCGGGAGGCCGGCGGGTTTTCCCTGTTTGCAGTTTGGATTTGTCCCAGACCAGGGTGTCCAGGAATGAGGAAGCAAAGCCTTGTAGACCCCGCAGTGTTGTCCTCCCCTCTCCAACAGGTCTCCTGCCTGCAAACCTCCATCTGTGACGTGGAGCAGCGCGGGGACTGCGCCCTCAAGGACGCGCGCGAGAAGCACATCGAGCTGCAGAACGCGCTGCAGAAGGCCAAGGACGAGCTGGCCTGCATGCTCAGGGACTACCAGGAGCTGCTCAACGTCAAGCTGGCCCTGGACATCGAGATTGCCACCTACAAGACCCTCCTGGAGGGTGAAGAGAGCAGGTGGGTGACACGGTTTTGTCCTTTCCGTCCATCGGAGGCCGCGGCGGTTCCAGGTCCCGAGTGGATTTTACAGCTCCAGGGGCTTCCCAGGCTCGCAGGAACTGGGGCTGGAGGCCACAGAGGCCACCCTGGTGCCAGCAAACCCAGCTCCTGTGCCAGGGGCAGTCAGATGGGTCACAACGAGGGGGGGAGTGGGCTGGGTCCGGGGCTGGAAGCTCTGGGTAATCTGCACTTCTCATTTCTCTCCCCCGACAGGATCTGTGTGGGGAACCCCGTGAGTGTGTGTAAGTACCCGCAGGATTTCCAGCCCTCAGGGTTTATCTTAGGAAAGACAATTCTGGGAGCAGCGTTGTCCGTCTGCCCCCTCCCTCTGCCTCCCTTTGCCACCCTCGGGAAGGTTTAACCCCAGAAATCTCAAATATCGCCAAATTTAAAAAAAAAAAATAATCGGCTTTTGGACGGAGGGGGAGGTGAAATCCATGCCCCTTTTCTACTCTCGGAGGCAACAGTGAGATGTCCGGGCCATGCACTGGACCCGGGAGGGAACGAGGCAGCAGCCAGAGCAGACCCGTGGGACCGGGGAGGGTGTGCGGGAATGGGGAGGGTCTGTGGGAATGGGGAGGATCTGTGCGAATGGGGAGGGTCTGTACGACCGAGGAGGGTCTGTGGGACCGGGGAGGGTCTGTGCGACCGAGGAGGGTCTGTGGGACCGGGGAAGGTCTGCGGGGCCGGGGAGGGTCTGCGGGAATGGGGAGGGTCTGTGGGACCGGGGAGGGTCTGTGGGAACGGGGAGGGTCTGTAGGAACGGGAAGGGTCTGCGGGAATGGGGAGGGTCTTTGGGACCGGGGAGGGTCTGCGGGACCGGGGAGGGTCTGTGGGAACGGGGAGGGTCTGTAGGAACGGGAAGGGTCTGAGGGAACGGGGAGGGTCTGTGGGACCGAGGAGGGTCTGAGAGAACGGGGAGGGTCTGTGGGACCGGGGAGGGTCTGTGGGACCGGGGAGGGTCTGTAGGAACGGGAAGGGTGTGCGGGGGGACGTGTCGGGACACGGGGGAGGAGCTGGAAGGAGCGAGGGGGGGTCTCGGGCACGCGGGACAACCCCCCAGGAAATCAGGCCGGGTGGGTTCCGTCACCCGAGACACAACTTGCCCGGGGAAAGTCTCCCGGAGCGGGGCCGGGGGATGCCGGGGGGGCCCTTCCAGCTCGGGGGGTTCTGTGTTTCTGTGTCTCCCCCCTAACTGACGCCCCCCGGGCTGTGTTTCAGCGGTGGTCAGCAGCAGCGGCTACACCCTCCCGGACGACTGCGGGCTGCTGGCGGCCAACGGGGCGTGCGGGTTCGGCTCCCTGGGCCGGCGCTCGGGCCGCCACAGCTCCCCGGCCGCGGGCGGCTTCAGCTCCCGCAGCGCCGGCATCCACCCCAAGCGCGTCCTGAGCTCGGTGGCCAAGCCCTGCCAGGTGCCCCCGGAGGTGTTCTGCCCTCCCGGCGGGGTGGGCTGCAAGGCGGGGGGGTTCAGCTCCCGGAGCGGGGGGTACCCGGCCCGCCCCGGGCTCGGCGCCAGGGTGGGGGGCGTGCAGGCGGGCGGGGTGGTCACCTTCGGCAACCAGGGCTGCGTCATCCGGCAGCTGGCCGGGCCCCCCGTGGTCGTGTCCGGCGGCGCCGAGGTCGTGGGGTGCAACCCCGGCGTGGTGGGGAACTTCGGCGTGGTCAGAGACCCCTGCGTGGTCCCGTAGGGCCGAGGGGTGGGGGGCTGGCGGGGCCCCCCCTCCCCGGGGGGCTGGAGCCGCCGTTCCTACACCGGGATGAGGCGGGATGAGGCGGGATGAGGCGGGATGATTCCCCCGCCCAAACATTCCCGCTGTCCGGCGATGCCAAACCCATTCCCACATTTATTAGCACCCCTCACCCCCCCCCCCCAGCCCCGTTTTCAGAGCCCCCCCGACCCCCAGGACACCTCTAGAAGCTTCTCCCACCTCAGTATTGTCTCTGAGTTCACACTGTAGGTCATCACAGCTTTAATGGGTTTGCTCGTGGCGCTGCTTCCCCCTCCGGCTTCTCCCAGGTTAATTAACAACATTCCTCCTTCCAAGACTCCCCTTTTTTCCCCTTCCAGCTCCTCCCAAAGCATTTCAGAAAAGCGAGAGAGGATTTAACCATTTAACTTTCCCAGCAGACACTGTAAAGTGCAGACTCCCTTTATTTTTATTCTTTTGTTGGTCTGTTTTGTTTTTTTTTTTTTTTTTTTGGTCCAAAAAACCCCTGAGCCGCGAAATTTAAGCTTAAATCCGAAAGGAGGCGATTCCAAAGCACCTCCCGGTTCCTCCGGAGCTTTATTTGTCGCGTGGAATTACAGGCGAACGCGCGGTGCCTCCGTTGCTTCTGCATGTTTAGGGGTGGCTGGTTCAGGGCGTGCTGATTTTTGGCAGAGATCAACCCCCCCTTTCCCTTTTCCCTCCCCCCCGGAATGCCGAGGGAAGGTCCCGGTGCACGAATCCCGTTGTACCCACACGGACGGAGCCGCTTCCCATCGGCTGCTCCAACTTCCCCCTCAATAAACTGCATCCAAAGGACGCGTTTGGTCTCGGCTTTTCCGTGTCTTTAAAGAAGCTGCAAAAGAGGTGAAAAAACGCCCTGGGGGAGGGGAAGGAAGAACCAAAGACACCTCTGGGTTCTCCCTGGGCAGTTCGGGGCACGGCGGGACTCGGCCGGGGAGAGTCAATGGAGTTTATTCTGGTTTGTTTATTTATTTATTCTGGTTTATTTATTTATTTACCTCCTCACATCACACCCCCCACGAGGTATTTTATTCTGGTTTATTTATTTATTCACCTCCTCACATCACACCCCCCATCAGGTATTTTATTCTGGTTTATTTATTTATTCACCTCCTCACATCACACCCCCCATAAAATATTTTATTTATTTCCCTCCTCACATCATACCCCCCATCAGGTATTTTTTAGCCTAATTAACCACCAAAGATTGTCAGAAGCCTCCAAAATAACCCCGAGCACCACAGGGGGATGTTTTCCTGGTCAGGAACCTCCCGGCAATGTGGATCCTTCCCCAGTGTGGATCCTTCCCCAAAGTGGATCCTTCCCTGTCCCAGCAATTGAGGGAAGACAAAACCAGCACCTCCCTCCTGTGCTCCTTGGGGGGGTGGCCAGGGCTGTGTCTGACCAGAGCCACCCGTGTTTTGGGCAGAAAAAACTCCGCTTTGGTGAAATTAGGGCTGACGGAGCGTCCTTGCCCCCCGGGGGACTTCAAAGGCACTGAGACCTCCTGGCTTTAATGGGGTGGGGTCGACTCAGGGCTGACAAAGTGTCGTTTTTGCCCCGTGGAACTTAAAAGGAATCAAGATCTCTTGGCTTTAATGGGGTGGGACCAACTCTGGCACTGAGATCTCTTGGCCACAGTGGGGTGGGATTGACTTTGGCACCGAGATCTCTTGGCCATAATGGGTGGGATTGACTTTGGCACCAATATTTCTTGGCTTTAATGGGGTGGGATTGACTTTGGAACTGAGATCTCTTGGCTTTAATGGGGTGGGATCGACTTTGGCACCGAGATCACTTGGCCACAGTGGGGTGGGATTGACTTTGGCACTGAGATCTCTTGGCTTTAAAGGGGGTGGGATTGACTTTGGTACCAAGATCTCTTGGCCATAATGGGGTGGGATCGACTTTGTCTGGGATTTGGAGCCTCCCATGTCCAGCCCAACGTGGGATCGTGTTGCTGGGGGGTTATTTCATGGAAAAACCCCAAACCCAACCTTTCCATGGGGTGATTCCTCTGGCCAAACACAGGGACCCTAATTAATTATGAAGTGCACGAGGCTCTGGCGGGTCTGCACCCAAGGGACCCCTGCTGGGATGAACCCAAACCCCCCATCCCCGTTCCCGGGGGAATCCTCCTTCCCTCTCATCTGCCGGACCCACAGACATCGTTATCCCGGGGAATCTCTTCCTGTCTCCAGCGCAGGAGGAATTACAGGTCCCACAACCCCACCAACCTGCCGGCTCTCACTAATTGCAGCCTGCAAAAGAAAAAAGGGACAATTAAAGGGCGGGAAGGGGATCAGCACCTCGGGGGCAGGGCAGGGGGGTCATTTCCATGGGTGGAAGATGTTCCATGCAGCTCCAGCCAGCCCTGGGTCACACCCTGGCCGGGGGAGGTGGGTGGTCCCCTCTGTCCCACCAGCAAACCCAGTCTGTGGGACTTTTTATCCATGAAATGGGTCCTGGGGTTTGGATTTTGGGACCAAAGGAGAGGAGTGAACCGGGTCGGTTGTTTGACTCTTCCAGTGGGTGAGGGGGAGCCCTGGGTGGGGAATTTGGTGGCTGAGCTGGAGTCACTCGGTGCCTGCAAATGGAATTTGGGAAGAGGGCGAGCCCAGGAGTCCCCGGGATGAGGCAGCTCCAGCTCCCGGATCCCCAGGATCCCGCGGAGTCAGGACATCACCGGGCCAGGGATGGATATCCAGGAACGCCCGAGGCTCCAAATTTGGGTCTTCCTTGAGTGTCTGAGGAGGCAAAGCCATCCCTTCACAATCCATGCCTGGAATGACTCGTCTGGGCCACTTTTCATCAGGTTTCCCCCCCCCCAAAAAAATGGTTTCTTGAGGAAGAGGAGGCGGAGAAAGGCCCAGCTTTGGGATTAGGGTTTGGTCCTCACCTGCTGGGTCACTCGACCCCGTTCTCTTGCCCCTCTTTGCTCTCCCCTTACGATCCAGTGAAAGAGGAACTGGTTTTCCGTGGCATTCCCAGCCTTGGAGGTGTGAGAGCCCAGCAATTCCCGGGATCTCCAGAACTTTCCCCTCCCCAAATGAGGCCCCCGAGGCGGCCCCAGAGAAGAGGGGACTCGAGGCTGGGCCGTCCCTCGGGGCTCAGGACACCGAAATATTCCCTCATTCCCAAGGGTGACTCTTCCCATCCCGACGGAAGCGGGAGGTGGATCCCAAACTTCAGGGGGATAATTGTCTTTTAGCGGCCTGACTCAGAGAGAGAAGAAAGGGAGATGATCCCTCCTCACCCAAAACAAGGGCAGCTCCTCCTCCTCCTCCCGGAGCCAACACCCAAACATCCCGAGCTGTAATTTCAGGAAAACCAAAGGGGGAAACGAGGCCTGCTTTTATTTTTCCCCCTCTTAAAAATTTTTGTCACAGGAGCGAAGGGAAAAGGTTCATCCCAAGTGGTTTCCAAACCACTTATTACAGCCTGTAAAAAAAGCACAGAAGAACTCCTGGCAGGGGATCGCCGGTTTTATTCCCCATGTTCATTTTATATTTTAATCTTGAGGATTGTTTTGACTTTATTATTATTTCTTAATATCTAGGAGTGTTTTGACTATTTTTTTCCTCTTCTTTCCAATAGCAACAAGCTCCAACAGACGTTTGAAGTCGGGGAACTGGTTTTTTCTGTCAGTTAAAAATAACCAGAGGAAATATTTTGATATCTGAGCAATGTCTCAACACAGTTCTGTCAGTGAAAAGAATATTAATAGTTTAAAAAAATACCAGTCCAGCTCTTTAGTTCCATAAAACATTTTGGGTTCGGTTGATCAACTGCAAAAAAAAGTGAATTTTATCCCAATAAAATCCTGGTCAAGGAAATGAAGAGGAAAATGGGAAGGAGCAAAGCCATCCAGACTCGGGGTCACCTCCATCATCCCTGGGGACACCTGGACAGCTTGGAGGGTTCCCCCTCCCAAAAACGAGTGTCCAAGGCCAGGCTGGAGGGGTTTGGAGCAGCCTGGGATAGTGGCAGGAGGTGGAATGGGATGAGTTGTGCGGTCACCTGGAGAGGAGAAGCCACGTCTCCAAAGTCATGTCCCAGAATCCAGCTCCCAAAATTCATCTCCCAAAAGCCAACTCCTAAAATTCACCTCCTAAAGGTCGTCTCCGAGAAAGTCGCCTGCCAAAAGTCGTCTGCCAAAAG